GGATTACACTTTAGGAATTCAATTATGACAATGCGAAAATTTCACAAGTCACCAAATTGCTATCCGAGCATCTGTACGGTAAAAGAGACGTCTCAGAAAGGGACAGATATACACGAAGTCACCTTCAATGACTAACCTACAGCAACACAAACAAGCACATGCAATAAGTCTGATCCAACTGAGGACGCAACACGCCAGAGATTGACGGCCATCAATACACCGATTTGTCCAATATCCGTCTTCTAATACAAGAATATCGTCGTTCACCAGAAAGAAGCATACAGAAACAAACACTTCGTAGTCTCATCGGTCAGGTCCTTCTCTTCCTGCGAACACCTATTAATCCCACTGATAATAATTTTCGGACCACGCAGGATCGGTGTTCATGGAAAGTAGTTCTTTTGGAGGCAGTGCCATACTTGCTACATCAGATCAGAGAAAGGATGGTGAATTAGCAAAAGCTGTAATCCGTCGTATTGGTAAGTGGATTTCCTCCGGCTAGCAAAAGGAAAACCGCCATTGAGGGCGAAGTTGGTCATAGCAAATCTGCCGATTGTTACTAAACTTTTCCGAAAATGTTGGTTGAGTTGAGTTGAGTTGAGTTGATTATTGACCAATCTAAACTAAGCGGTTATAGACAAATCGACATGAAAGTAAAAGTCTCATCCGCACAGAATGTATGGAGGGTGAACATCCCCAAGAGCCATCTTGAACTTTCCAGGACGCTCTTGAACATTAAATAGTAATGAACACTGCAAGGCGGTCCCATATTTTTCGGGCGAACCTTCCATCCGATGCGGATACGGCACTTTGAAATATGTCCAGATGCTATTGGTGTGTTTCAACAGTAGTATGGAGCGTTACATACCGCCCTCAAGAGTTCCCACGCATGCTACCAATGTTCAGTTCGTCCCAGTTGGGTCAACCTCAGCAACTAGTCTATTCGGCACCTTTTACTGCGTATGGTGCCACTTTCGAAGCCGGTTATCGCTTACTCCTTCTGGTCCTTAATCATCCTGAACTGTATAAAAGTTCCCTTAACAGTCAGTAACGATAAACGGATATGCCGACTGCCCAACTTGCGTGACCAAAGTCCATTCCTTCCAGCATTATGATGACCTTTCCATTTGGCCTTCGCGCCTATGGGGAATAGTCGTATTCATCTATATATTGTTTTCTGTCTGACCCTATCCTGAGCGGCGGTTAAGTTTTCTCCAGCACTCCTCGTTTTCCATCCTAGCTCTGTCGGAGACGGGCATGTTGCCGGTCACAGCTCGATATCCTGACCAAGTGGAAGGTGTGGATGTCGACCGTACATCGATATGAATCGCGACTTATCTGTGGCAGACTGAATCGACGCATGATTTGCTAACAACGCCATCGACCGGTTCATCAGCATTATCGTCGACAGCGTACAACAGCGATGCTTTCCTTCAGTACATTCATGATTCTTTTGAAAGCCTTACTGCAAAGAAAAGAATAAAGGTGGACGGGGAAGGGATTTAGTGCTAGCTTAACACAATCATTCCGAGGTGCCCAACCTCCAAACATTCACTCAGACAATCTGGATAGAAACGACAACTAGAACGTCACTGACATCGGTTGGCAGCCATATCTTGTAGTGTCTCCAACCAGGCACAGTGAGGATCACGTGGTCCCCATCCTGGAAGGCGAGTAGCACCAACAGCCCCCAAGTGTTTCGTGATCTCCTTGATACTCCTCTGCCAGGTCAAGGGTTACCCACATCACAGTTTACGCCACTCTGAATTGGGCATGGAAAACAGCACTCTCTTCGACAAACGATGATTCGGCATACGCAACACATGTCCCAACCAACGCAGCTTCTGGTGCCGGACACATTCTTCAATGGAAGTACCCTTTGCACAACCGGAAACACGCTTTCCAACTGCCCATTACGGATTCGATGACACCAACACACAGGAGCCATGGTTCTGAGGCAACGATTGTCGAACACCTGAAGACATCTCAGTTCCTCTCCCCGAATAGGCCAAGTCTCACATCCATACAAAAAACAGCCCGCACTTTAGCTTGATACACACGTTCCTTGAGATTCAGGGCTAAGCCATAGGTGTCTCAAATTAGCGAACGAGACCCTGACCTTGCAGATTCGTGCATTCACCTCATCTGTCACACGACAATCAGAACTAATACAACTTCCAAGATAGGTAAAACGCTCCACAACTTGCCGTACCTCTCCCTGGATTGTACGTGGTGTGTTCAGTGACTTCATGTCCACGAGCATGACCTTACACTTTGTAGGTGCAAAGTACATACCAAAGCACGGGATGATTTTGGTCAGTTCGTCCAAGAATACTTGCGCCTTCTCCGCCTACAGGTTCTACGACACCCCGTACAATCAGGAATACTAGAATTGTGGGTCGTTTATACGTATGACTTTGTTCCAGCACCTGACGGAGTGTGAAGATTTGGTCAACGCAACCCCTACCAGGCCGGAGTCCCGTTTAGTGCTCTCGAGTCAGTATCTCACGAGCCACCGTAAGGCGACGAAGCACAATTGACGCCATCAGTCTCGTTACGACCGGGGTCAAGCTGATCCCCCCGTGGTTACCACACTCACTACGCGCCCCTTTTGGAAAACGGGCACTATCGCTGATGCTTCCCAGTTGTCTGGGACAGACTCCTTTTCCCAGATGCAAGCAAACAGATCGGACAAGCGCTGACTGAGGACTTCGTCCCCGTCTTTGAACAATGCGGGTGGGAGATCATCCGGACCGGGAGCTCGGTGGCGCTTGAGAGGACATATGCAGCCGTAAACCTCCGGGGCCGCAGGTGGTTTCACGTTCACCGTCCAGGGTTCTGCTTCATCTGTGGGCTCTAGATGCGTTGAGGCTGCTGGCTACGACAGTTTTTGTTGTTCGAAGTATTTATTCCAGATGGTAGTTCCATTCTGATGCTTCATGGTTTCACTCACAGGTGGTTTCCGGGGACCGGTCGCACGGATCAACCGGCTTTCTGGGCCCCTTCCATTTCTTGGGCTTTCTGTGTCCACCACACTTCACGGTCAGCTCGCATGCTCACTTTCACTTGACGTCTGATAACTCCCCCCACCGGGTTGTGTTCGGGACCGGCTGAGATAGTTCTCCGAGGATTAAGCAGTGCCACCATTCGGTCTGACATCCAGTGCTTGAGTACGCCTGGTTGGGTCGTGCCACAGGCAAAATTCCCTGCACTATGCAACGAGGTGGCAATCTCGTCCCAGTATGCCTTCAAATCTGATGGTGGAGAATTTGGAAGAGACTCTTGAAGATCAGTCTGGTAAATTCGTCTGACAGCCGGATCTGTCAGTCTTTCAGTTGCCAGGCGATTCGTCCGCACCTTGCGCAGCCCCAGGGGAACGTAGGTAGAAGCGACCCTGGATGAGCGCGAGGTCAGAGTCCACAAATGTGTTCCAAAACGACCGGCAGTAAGTTATGGACCCGCGCTATCGGTAACTGGTGGCAATGTGGTCGGTTTGAGTTTGTAGCCGGCCTGTTGTTGGAGGACACCAAGTAGCCAGACGACTTCGGTTATTTCGGAAGTTAGTACTGCATAAAAACAGCCTGCGATCAGCACACGGCTGAAGCAATCGTTTCCCACTGTCCGTACGTACCGAGTCCAGTCCATGTCGACCTCCCAATTGAGTCTCAGATGCACTAAGCCTGCCCACTTGCGCATACATATCCCCGGCAGCCACCACAATATCTGAGCTTCTCACTCGCTGTAGCGGGGCATTCAGGGCGTCGTAAAACCTTCCTTTGACGGAGTCGGAGCTAAAGTCAGTTGGGGCGTAGACAGACACGATAAGCAGACATCGATGAACTTCCCGCTTCTGAGACTCCTTCACAGACGTTGCCAGACGAACCGCACAGAGGCGACTATCAACAGGCATCCAGTCAAGTAAGGATACTTCCACCCGGTGACTTAGCACAATACCAACCCCTGCACATCCCGCCGCAGCAGCCTCTGGATCACCAGAAGTGCGCACCCGGAAGCGAGTGGAGACTGACGGGGCGGTTAGCTCAATCACTGTGCTTGCATCTTGAATTGTCGTTTCTGAGACACAGCAGACATCAATGCCAAGCGATTCCGGTGTGGGTGCAAGAGCAGCTTTTTGTCCTGTTTGCTTCAGAGTGCAGACATTGAAAGCGGCCAGATAGACTGGGCGTCGAGGCTTGAGGACTGATTTGGAGATACCTTAGGATGTCGGCGCAATGTGACGAGCAGATGCTGCACGCAAAACCGATGCATGACGAACGGAGTCATCAGGTCCTAAGTGCTGGGCCTACAAGAAGAGAGCTATTAATGGGGTGGGGAGACAGGGAAGAAAGTGTGTGAAAGAGAAAGAAGGGAGGCGTCGCTTACCCGCCCTGTTGTATGCAGCAAGTAAGGCGACGCGGCTCATTGCACCACGCGACGGCCGATGTGGCATGAGAGTATTGTTAGTCGTTAATGTCATGGTTGTGCTAGGGCTGGGATACTGTCAGGGCGCCCACACCTAGACGGGAGGACGATTAGGGTCCTCAACCAAAGCCTTTGTCTCAAAAGCGGCGGTGTTTGGCGGGAAATGCAAATGCATTACCATTTCTACGGAACAAGTCGTCACATGTTCCAACCCCCAACCTGGACGGCCAGGATACTGTGTATCCAGTACGATAACGAGGCTAGTGACGCCGACCATGATTTTAGGGGGACTTTTCCGGCCTCTTGTCTAGATAGCTTATCTGTCAGATGGTTCTCATTCCTCGGCACTTGCCGGATCGTGGAGTCGTATTCTTGTGGTCGGAGAGCCCAGCGCGCGAGCTTTTTGCGGGACTCTCTGGTGGTTCTTGTCCACTCAATGAGTTTGTGATCGGTCTCAACGTGAAACCTTTGTCCCAGAAAATTTAGCCTCCATTTATCCAGGTCCCAGATGATCGCCAAGCATTCCTTCTCAGAGGTTGAATACTGCTTCGTGTTGGTCAGGGACACGACTAGCATATTCAATGATCCCATTCTTCTGCTTCAGAACCGATGATCAGGTCACCAGCGTCCGCTGCAACAGTAAACATCTCCCCAAACCTGGGCAATTTGAGGGTGAGTCACTGATCCAGCATTTCCGCCTTGATACGTTCGAAGGCCTCGAGCGCTTTGCTTGTTCATTCCTATTTTGACGAAAAAATTCGTACACCGGAAGAGCAATCGTGTCGAAATCCTTGAAAAACAGGCTAGGGTATACTGCTCATCCGAAAAATTGCCATAAGGACCATTTTGAATTCGGGACTGCCCATTACTGAATCTTCGCCAGTTTTTTCGGCAGTGGACCAACCTTTCCTTGACCTACTTTATGCCCGAGCAGTGTCACCGAACTTCGAGCGAGTTGTGCCTTCGGTTTATTGAACGGCAAGCCAGCTTCCCGAATCGCTAGATACAGCGATATCACCACCGTGCACAGCAACATTCTGAAGTCTATTCGTTAAACGAACCATTAGGCGCCGGAGGGTTCCCCCAATAAGCCAAGGCATTCTTCTAAATTGATATTGGGCATCCCCAACTATGAACGCGCTTTCTTACCAGTCGTCTGACATGATGTTACTTACCAGTGAAAGGAAGAAGGCCTTCGCTACGGAGTTATTTATTAGAAAACACCAACTGAACAGTTACAGACTATTGGACAGGAAAGCAAAATAAGCAAAAAACCACCTTGTTTATAAAAACTGAATATCTTGAACGCGTTTTCTTGAACTCATTGATTATCTCTCGAATGTAAATGAATGCTACAAAGCAATTTCACAAATTCCGTAGTAAATTCTACTTTCCAATAGACGCGAAGCGGAGTTACGAGAAAACATATCCTTCGCATGCCTCATCAATAGTACCCTAGTTACACATCTCCCTTTAAAGGTCGCTCGCATGCCACTGATTTTGATACCCTTAGGTCGGCTCCAGCAGCTGGTCAATTCGGCCGCCCTTCGGGTGTATCATGCTACCTACGAAGCTGAGTCCCATTTACTTTTTTTCGATCCCCGACCGTCTTGAGATGTATAAACGTACCCCCAGCGGTCGGTAACGACAAACAGACCTTGCCATCGACTGCCAGCTTCCGCGACCCAGTCCACCCCTTTCAGGATTCTGATGATCCATCCACAGGACCTTCACGCCTATGGGGAGTGGTTGTGCCCTCCTACGTATCGTTTTCTCTCTAGTCCCTTTCTGAACGTCGAGCATGCTCGAGCTATCCTCCTTTACTCTCCTACCTCCTACGGAGACAAGCGTGTTGCCGGCTACAACCCTATTCCCTGATCAACCAGAAGGCGCACATGTCGACCGTGCGTCAGTATGAAAGAGGTCTTGCCTGTGGTTGACTGTATCGAAGCACGATGAGCTAGTAACAACATCAGCAGGTTCATTTCCCAGTCACCTCCTTCGGCGGCCAGCCACTTCTTCATCGCTCAGTTAGACCATTTGTTAGCAGGTAAACTGTTGCCGTCCTTACTTGAGGTTCGCGACCGAAGTGGGGTCTTGTATGCGTGTTTCGGAGACACAACATACATCGGCAGAGAGTGAGGACAAGGTTTCAGCAAGGGATTCCTGTTGCCCAATTTGGGATAAAGTACGGATAGTGAAGGTTGCGACGTGGCTTAGATCTTTTGAAGTTAGTAGGTGAATATTTTAGTTTATTTTTCTGGGAGACGGTTGAGACACGGGATTGGCAAGTGGATTGATTGCACTACATTGTACGATGAGTGGGGAGGGAGTGTGGGAGAAGGCCGGTGAGCAAAGAGCTGAGCACAGCAGCTGTTTTTTTGGGGAGCACCGGAATCTTTGGTCGTGAAAGTATTTCAGTCATATTGAATAATGCGCCTGCGGTCACGGTCAGCCGTTGGGCGATCGGAGTGTGCTGTTTTTACAGCCGATCTTTTCTAACCTGTCCTTCCTCGGAGGAAGGCACCATCGGCGCTTCCATAAATATGGACATGCTGGTTGCCTGGGAGACACACCTTACTGCCTTCGCACTCCTACCCCAGAGGACAGTACGACTTTACCTCCAGACCACCTCGTAATACGATTACTCGCTATCCTTCGTCGGGCCGTTCCCAATCGACCTTCATGGCATGGTTGAACCTTAGGGAACTGAGTTCCAGCCAGTGTAGCCCGCAGATCATTGCAGCACAGAAGCCCGACAACCATAAGGCGGCAGCTTTTGGTCGGGTAAATCACAATAATCGTTCGGCTTCAACAACCCTTCGGTGCCTAGCTGCCATGCCACCCGAAGGACGCCGGAGGACTGAGATACTGCCGGGTTGCTCAAATCAAGACAGGGGAAATCGAGATGCAGAGGTCGGATTCCAACCACGGACCTTGTGGTCAGTTTGTTGTCAGTTTCTATCCAGATTGCCTGAGTGAATGTCTGGAGGTGTAGGCACTTCGGAATGATTGTGTTAAGCTAGTACTAAGTCCCTCCCCCGTCCACCTCTACTCTTTTTTTTACAATAAGGCTTTCAAATAAGTTATGGTTGTACGGCAGTGAAGCATCGGTGTTGAAAACTGATGTCATGCTGTCAATGATGATGTGGATTCGGTGTTCACACTCAATGACTAAATACTTACTCAAAACACTCAACCTTTCGTGGATACCCGGTTCTACCTCCATCAGGGTATCATAATTTCTCCGGAAGCACCGACATTGGACGTGAAATTTCGGGTGATCCGGACGAGCCAACAAGAAGAAATAGCTGTCCGATGGGGAAATAAGTATAGAAATAAACGATTTCATAGGTCATGTATATTTTTAAGTTGCCAAAAGCAGTCAGAAACAGAGGTACCTAAACAACACTTAAAGCAGTTTTGAAAAGAACTGGTTTAAACATCCTGAAATAGCCTGAGCGGCATGTGGACTGAAGTTTTAATGCGATATTATTTAGTTAGGACGCCTCGATTATAATCGAAGTTGATGCTCACAGCGGGGAAGTGACTATCATGAACATGCACTTTCTCTGTGGTCTCATTTCGCACGACGTGGGATTATGAGCAGTTTGTTCACGTTCCCTCAGAATGGTCAGGTAGGATTTGCCTACAGCGAACTTGTGTAAAATGGACTATATATAGGTCCAATCTTACAACCTTGATTGCAATTCGTGTAAGAGTAACGTCTTCTACGCCTGCTAGTGCAACTCCAGGACGTGTTTCACAATTATTCCCAATAAAGTTTAAACTTTCACCTTTAACTAGCGAACTGTTGTGAAAGCGCCTCATCCATCTTTCAAGTCATTCAGGCGTTCTTTAAGGGAGGCTGGCAGGTGAACAGCCTAGTGAAAGAGGGGGTTTACTACTCCACTTAGCCCACTAGTTGAGTCAGATTTCTCCACACAGCGGAAAAACGTTGTGACTGATTTTGAATACCTATCAAGCATCATAATGGAAACTACTCACAAGGTTGCTGAAAACTCTCTGACAGCCCACGACCGGTTTCGCCCTTCTTGGGGCTCATCAGGTAGGCGCAGTCCCCGAGTTTCCGTCAACCTTATGACCTACTTGAACCCAAATTGCACTGTTTTCGAGAACTACACTCATTTGAAAATCGATGTGGTTTTCACGAGAGACTCAACCGCATCTCTCGTTTATGATATTCTAAATGAGTGTATTTCTCGAAAACAGTCCAATATACTGCGATATCTCGAATATCGTGCCAGCTGAATCATAAGGCGGCCTGTCTGCAGAACATTCAGCTGGAGGACATCAAAAAAACGAAAGATTCAATTGAGTCTCCCGTGAAAACTGAAATGGTTAGCAAATGAGTGCATCTATCAAGTTTGTTTGAAACTTTCGATTTCGCTGTCGTTGGTCTCACACTAAACAGGCCCCTTCCAGTTACTGACCACTACTGAAGAGAGTTTAAATCACGTTCCCGGGGTTGGATTAGGAGTTATTTCTGGACTCACTCATGTTCTGTAACAGCAACCTGCAATCTGATGTTTATCCACACATCCAAGAAAATTTTTAAGCAGTAACAGAAGCCAAAGATTTTAGAACCTCATTATTTCCAAGAGCTACCATAACCTCCACAATGTTTACCTTCAAAGCCTATGCAAATACTTCTCTAGACCGAGGTGGGCGATCAGTAATTCACCATTGTGAATCAGAAACGTCCGTTCACTCACAGGTCACCAGCAACATATGGATATGCGAAAGTATGCGTAGACCAATAGCCTCAGAACTCTGAGAAGTTTGTAGCATCAACCAGACCAAGTATAACGACAACCGCTGAGGCAGGGCTAACCAGGTAGCAATCATCATGGTAAAATTTCCCGAAAAACTGGACCCGGATTTCTGGTGTCTTCCTAGGGATCCTCCTTAAGCCCATCGTCAGAACGATAAACTGTACGGGTTACAGATCATGACGATAAACCTATACAAACCGTCAGAGATAACGTATGAACCGGTTGGTTATAATCTTAGGCGAACGTCCCAGTAACTGTGCAGTCCTGTTGATAGCTTCACGCACATACCCCTCTTCAACGCGAAATGCAATGTAATGAGGGAAAACTGCACATTAATTGCTGGATTTTCAGAACAGGAATTCTCAGAGTCAGAAAAAACCGTGAGCTACCGAACATAAAACGACTGTAGAAACCACATAATACCTTGACAGAGGTGTGTTCAATTGCAGTATAAGTGAAATCGGCGGCCGCTTGGTCCCCAGGTCAAGTGTGGAACTACTACCCAACTTGTTACATGATCAACCATCTATGTGTGGTAAAGCATTGTGTAGCTGAGGCTCCAGAGAGCCAAACTCCTTCCCAAATCAACTACACTTTTTATGTTTAGATGTCTCAGTGGATGTCTGGCTCTAATGCGAGAAACTGCAAGTTATGTACTTATTGGGTCAGTATGACGATAGGATCGCAAATGACGGATTACACTTTAGGAATTCAATTATGACAATGCGAAAATTTCACAAGTCACCAAATTGCTATCCGAGCATCTGTACGGTAAAAGAGACGTCTCAGAAAGGGACAGATATACACGAAGTCACCTTCAATGACTAACCTACAGCAACACAAACAAGCACATGCAATAAG